ATCCAACAAGCCAGCCACATGTGAACTCTGCCTATCATCGTCTTCATTTTTGCTTGCAAAGCTCCTTGCGTGCCTTGCGTGCGCTCCGTAAGCAGCTCCCCCTGCGCGCTGCATCTGACTACACAGATAGGAGCATGCGAATCTTGAGATGAATCAGACATTTTTTTATAAAAGCAGACAGAAACTTTTTTCCTATGTCCTGTCCCCCCCTCCCCCCCCAAAAAATAGACCCTTCAGCAATAATTATTGAGATCTGTCTGAAGGGAGGTGGCAGGATTTTATCACCCTCTAGCACCCAGTATCAGCCTTTGGGAGGCTGTGCCCTCAGGGACAGAGGTATAAATGCTGCAAACACCGTAACCTCCCTCAGGACTTCACTTTGGCCCTGCCTATCTGATAAAATACCTAGAGTTTTACAACCGTAGCACATAAGCACAATAAAATCATACAGAGGTTTCTTTTTTTCAATTACATTTGAGAATCAGATCCTTTCCATCCTTATTTTTTTATCCAAACACATACTCCCAGGTAACCCAACTGACTGCTTTGTGCCACCTGCCCAGTTACACTCTTGGTCTTCAGGAATGTTGATAAGAAGACAACAGCACTCTGCCGGACTGTGTCCATCCTTAACCCAACACACCCTCGGCCTCCCAGAGGGAAGACAAGAGGCAGCCGGCTTTCCCAAAGTCTGGATTTTTGCTTTTTTTAAAAATACTTTGAAAAGTCATTACAAGCAGAGACACTCTGAACTGCCTCCTCCTCATAGCAAACTCCCAATAAAAAGAGTAAAAGGGAGAGGGGAAAAAAATCACCCTTCACACCCTCCTTTTCAATACTAAGCAACTAAGCGGGAACGGAGACAAATTCCCTTTTCATTTTCAAACAAAGAAAAATCTTCTTACAAGTAGACCTGTGTGATTTCCCCCCTGCCAGGAGAGCACATTAAGACAGCAGACAACACTCTCCGAGGGGTGGGATACCTCCAGAATGTGGCTCTGTCATAGAAAGTGCCCTATACATTTTAAGAGATTTTAATTAATAAGAAACACTTTATTCTGTGGCTGGCTGGCAGTTCAAGCTTTACCTTTTCTGTTAATGGCAGGAGCTTCTAGATCAGCCCATGCTCCTCACAGCTTTACTCTGAAGGGCTCTCTCTGGCAGAGCTGAGACATACATCATTTAGTGCTATAGTTATGTGCATTCTGCATTTTATAGAATCGTAGAATTCTATGATTCTATGATTTTATACATCACTTAGCGCTACAGTTACGTACATTCTGCATTTCGTGTAACTTGCTGCCTAAACACAGCCGGCTCTTTTGTTCTGATTAATTTGTATCCCCCGCTGTGCAGCAGCTCCCTGAACTGTGAGACCTTGCTCGTTAGTGAGATGCCCCAGACCGGCCTCAGCTCCGTGGAGGTCTCCAAGCAGCAGCCTCGGGTGCAGCGCAAGGGCAGGAGAGCACTGAAGGATGCTCTCCCCCAACCCCCAGCGTGGCAGCC